GGGTGGTGGGCGTGACGGGCCCGTGGGCGTGGCGGTGGGCGGGGCTGCTGGCCCCTCCCCGTTTGATAGGTATTTCTTTGTTCTGGTTGCTACCTTTTAAGTAAAAGCAGTTAATTTTGAATGGGTAATAAAGTACAGAGTTCGGTGAGTATAAGGTAAAACACAGGCTCTTAGCTGCCCAGCTCCCCTCCTGAAGGCAGCTACTGTTAATCTTCGGTATATATATCCTTCTTATAACCATATCCAGTCTCTCTCACATACATTTATTTTTTTCTTTGCACAGTACTCTTTAGCCCCCTTTCTTTTTACTTAACAGATAACCTGAGAGACGATTCCCTATCAGGACACGAAGCACTGTCTCTAACTGTACACGGCATCCGCCGCAGGGACATCTAACCAGCCCTCTGCTATGAGACAGCCTTGTGGCTACACCATTCCACACACGCACGTACAACTGTGATGAATTCCCTGAAGAGAAACTGCTGCCTCATCAAGCGTGTGCATTTAAAAACAAACTTTTATTTTGGGATAGTTTTAGACTTACTGAAGAGTTGTGAAGTCAGTACAGAGAGAGCCCCTTTCCAACTCCCCACCCAGTTTCCCCATTAACTTCTGACATGCTATGTCCACGTGTCACAACCAGGAATCCTGCCTCATACATTCCTACTCACTTACCCTCCAGCCTTTCCTCGGATCTCACTGGGGTCTCCACTAATGTCCTTTTTCTGTCCCAGGATCTTGAGTTTAGTTATATTTGCATTCAGAGTCCCCGCCCAAGACCCCTCCATAGAGGCAGAAAATACCTCAACAGCCTACAAGTTGTGCTATCAAACTTCTGGATCTTTGCTGATGTGGGAGGTGAAAGCTGTTGTTGTGTTTATGTGATTTTCTCTAATTACAAGTGAGGTTGAGCAGAACTGAGCTGCCTGGGGGTGAATCCAGGTTCTCCCAACTCTCAGGTCTGGAACTTTGGACAAATGACCTTTCCGTGCCTCAGGGTCTTCATGTGCAAAATGGGAATACCAGTGGTGCGCACTTCACTGGCTGGCTGTGGAGATCCAATGAGTTACTACGTGCAAAGCACTTACAGCATGCCCGGCACACAGGGAGCCTGCTTTAAGTTCTATTACAGGCTACTGTGTTGTATCGTAAAGTAGCGTGTTGTGTTGTCTATGCCCTGCCCAGGTCCTTTGTCCATTTTCCTACTGCACCGATCTCACTGTAGATGGGTTAGCATGTTTCCTGCTAAGGGACCAGAGATCCAGCCCTGAGCAAACTGGCTCTAAGTCTGGGCCCCTTGCCCCTTCTGCTATGTTCCAGAAGAACCCTCCCCGACATGGGCTTTCATGCTCACCGTTTGCTTCCTTCCCTCCCTCCTCTCTTGTCCCTTCTCTCCCTGACTCCTAGCTTGTCTTTCCTTTCCCACCCCGTATTCTACACAAGTCACAAGAACGCTCCTTAAGTCACATTCCAGCGGATTCTGTGTTCCCAGAGAAGTTGCTGCATCTTCTTCCGACTCTCCCAGCCTTACCTCTCCCTAGGCTGATCATTCCCCATCTGGAATTCTTCATAGGCCTGTCTCACCTCACTGCTGGGGCTGGAGTGGCCTGGGGCTGGGCCCTGCACGGGCCCCAGGGCCTGGCTGCCTCGGCCCACAGTCAAAGCTCCATGAACCAGGGAGTAAATGGGAACAAATGAATGTCCCCTTGCTGGCCTGCCGCGTCCTCTCCTCTCTGGCTGGATCCTTGTTTTTAGCTGAGTGTCTCTGGGCCCTGGGCTCTGTAGTCCCTCTGGTGATGTGGCACCTCTGAACACACCTTTGAAATGATTCCTCCTGGGGGAATGGGCAGCAGTGGGGGCACCTCACTTTGAAGACCGACCACCCTGGCCTCAGCAGTGTCTTTGCCACCGTGTGACTTCAGGGAAGCTGCCTGAGCCACCTGCCTGCCTCCTCAGGAGCTGGGATGAGGGGCTTGTGCTTACGGAGTACTGGGCACTCGTGTTAGTGTACGTCCTCTTTCCTTTCCTCGGGAACGGACGGGGGCAGCATTCAAACGTCACAGCAGGGATTTCCGTAAGGGCCCACACCTGGAGAAATCTGACTGCTTCAAGGAGAGGAAAGAAGGGATGGGGCAGGGAAACTGCGTGGAAGAAGGATGCTGCTTCTTGGTAAGGAGACCCTAACTTCCCAACACATGCGTGTGCGCACACACACATGCACACACACCCTGACACAGACATCCCCCCTCAGATACACACACGCATACATTGACTGCGCTGGAAGGGGACGACAGCTGAATGGGTGTAGAAGAAAGAGCATGAGAAGCACAGCCAGGAGCCCCAGCTCTGCTGACCTGCCTGGGAGATCTTGAGCCGGTCTCTGAATTGCTCTGGCCCCTCAGGTCCATGATGCAAAAGGAAGTCATCTTCCTTCTCCAAGGGAACACAAGAAGAGATGGAGATGGGATGACCTCTGGGGACCTACAAGGGCCAGGCACCTTTCGAGGCCCCTCCCTGAGCTCAGCAAAGGAGGCATGACCACCAGCTACTGGGATTCTCATGGTCACCCTCACAGTATTAGGATGCGAGACCAGATGCACAGAGGGCACAGGGCCTCGGCCCATCTCCGGCCACCTCCCCTGTACTGCTCCACCTCACCAGTCCGATGCAAGAAAAAAGAAAGGTGTTTTAAAAGCACAAATATTGTTAGGACAGTGTAAGGAGCTATGGCAACAATTTAGGAAAGAATTGCTGAGCATCTTAACATTTCTCACATTTATTCACTGGAATGAGGCCTACGAAGTCAGATGGCTCCTGTTGCTCCAGACAGGACAGGGACCTCTGCTGCACTGTTATCTTCACTCCTCAGGAGCCACCCAGAGTCCCAAGGATGCCACTGGCCAAGCTTTGTCCCGCAGACACCTGCTCCACGCACCCACCACCCCAGCCACTCAGGCCAGAAAACCCAGGTTCTCTGCTGAATGGTGAATAAACACTGACCCATCTCCTGCCTGGATTTCTCCCATGTCTGCAGTGTGAGGGGAGAGGGGACAGGCATTGAATTGTCTGCATCCAGGCTTGGAGAAGCAACAGTGTAAAGCCATTTTGTTTGGTTTGGTTTGGTTTTTTGGGGGAAGGTAATTAGGTTTATTCATTTATTTATTTACTTACTGGAGGTACTGGGGATTGAACCCAGGGCCTTGTGTGGGCTAAGCAAGCACTCTACCACTTGGACTGGGAGTGTGTTACTGTTACCCACAGCTCTGTGGGTTTTCATTGGGTCGAGATAGGGGTGGCATAAAGGTGTTGCCGCCCATCTCTTAGCCAGGAGAGTTGGGCAATCAAGATGGCCCCAGTGAAGGGGGGGGTCTGCCCTGCTCCCGCCCCAGCCCTCTTGCTCACCCTGCCCCAGGCACACTGGGCTTCTCTGCTTCTGCACCCTTGCTAGCCCTGTCCCCCCCTCACCCTGTCTGCAGTTGCTCAACTCCTTCAAGTTTCCGTGAGTCCCTCTGGGTACTTCCCTGACGCCCCAACTCAGCCAGGCTCCCCGGTACAGGCTTGTAAGGCACTAGGACTGCCCTTTTGTGGCATTTTGCACACCTTATTATTTTTCCAAATTGAGGTGAAATACATATGACATAAAATTAACCCTTTCAAGTGCACAATTCAGTGGCATTTAGCACATTCACCGTGTTGTGCAATTACCACCTCTACCTGGTTCCAGAACATGTTCATCACCCCAGAAGGAGATCCTCATATCCATTAAGCAGTTGCTCCCCACCCCCTGCCTGGCCCCCTGGAAGTTTGATATTAATGACGCCCAGTGATCTTATGGTCGACCCGCTCCCCCAGCAGGACCAGTACTCAGTACAGCGGGGACCAGAGTGGGCAGCTCACCTGCAGCCACAAAGAGGATGCCGGCACTGAGCACGATGTTGTTCTTGCGGCTGTAGAACCTCCCAGCGCCGATGCAGAGCCCGCCGAGCAGGAGCAGGATGGTGCTGAGAATGGGGAAGACACTGGAGGCACGCACGATGCCTGGGCCGACGGGAGACAGAGCAGACAGGGTGGTGAGACCAGCTGCCCTCTGGGGCAGGGCCAGGGGCGTTGGCCAGAAGCCCCAAAGCTCTCAAGGCCCTTCCCCTTGACTCTAAGACTCCCGGCTGGCCCTGGAGACCCAAGGTGGATAGGGAGCCGAGGCGGGGACAGTTGGACCAGATCCAAGTGACAGCCCAGGCCTGCTGGTCACCCCCCCGGACGCCAAGTGGCCTGGAGTCATATCTGTCCACGTCTCGCTTGGCCTCTTCTGGGGTGTGGGTCACACTTCTGCCAGCCAGGAGGGAGGAGTCAGTGCCACCAGGGGAGCCACCACAACAGCCAGGAAAACACAGTCGGACAACACCTCACAGCCCACTAGGCCCTTTCCTGGACACCATCTCCACGAAGCCTCCAGGAGGCTGGGGAGCGGCAGGCAAGACAGGCAGCTGCAGTGGGTGGCTGAGGACACAGGCTTCGCTTGAGTGGGTCTGGGTAGCCTGCTTTGTGACATGCTGGCTGTGTGGCTTTGGTCACATCACCTAAAACTGGGCTTCCCTGTTAGTGGAAAGCAGTTCATAACAGCACCCACATCCTGCAGCTGGTTTTGCACACCTAAGGGGCTCAGCACAGGGCCTGGTCTTAGCATGCACTTCTGAAGTGACAGCCTTTAGCGCCATTGTCACCGTCGTCACCCCAGGGGACAGACGACGATGCGGAAACTCAGGACCTCCTGAGGTCACAGAGAAGGAGGCAGCTGGCCAGAGTTGGAAATCCATGCAATGATGTCCAACAGAGTAAGATCTGCACCTTTGCTCTGCTGCTTCCTGGTGGGGTGGGTGACCAGGGCATCTAACTTCTGACCACCTCGGTCCCCTCTTTTATAACCGGGGGAGACCAGTAATACCCACCTGTAGGGGGCTGAACTGTGGCCCACCCCTCCCCAAAAGCTATGTCCAGGTTCTAACTGACGGTACCTATAAGTATGACTTGAGTTGGAAAAAGGTCTTTGCCGATGTGATTACGTTAAGGATCTCGAGATGACACCATCCTAGATTAGGGTGGGCCCTAAATCCAATGACAAGTGCCCTTATGAGGGAGGAAAAGACACAGGCAGAAGAGGAGACACAAGGGGAGAAGCCATGTGAAGACGGAGACAGAGAAAGAAGTCATGTTGCTCAGGACAAGGATGCTGGGGCCACCAGAAGCTGGAAGAGGCAAAGAAAGATTCTCCCCTAGAGGCTTTGGAGGGAGGACAGCCCTGCCAACGCCTGACTGAAGACATCTGGCCTCCACACTGTGTGACAGTAAGTTTCTGTTGTTTTAAGCTACCCACTCTGTGGTAATTTATTACGGTGGCCTTAGGAAAAGGATGCACCACCTGCGAGGGTTGTGGTGAGAATTTGATGGAATAAGGCACAGAAAGCACTTAGTAGGGACCTAGGGGATGCGGGTCCCCCTTCCTTAGCATCTGGCTGGGAGGAAGGGCGGGAGGAAGGGAGGGGGCATGTGAAGAGGAACCCCGAGCTCAGCCTCCCTGCCGCGCCTGCATCCCAGCCCAGGAGAAGTCCCGGCTCCGTGGACCCTGGGTGGTCCCGGCAGGGGACAGTGAGTCAAGGAGCACTGGCAGGCCCCCCTCCTGAGCCAGCTGAGCTGGTTTCAGCCTCTGAAGGCAGCATTTGTCTCCTTCTTTGTAAGCCCACCAGTGTGTGCCCCTGCCACACAGAGAGGGGTTTGTTTGGGGCATTAAATGAAGCTCTTCTCTCTGCCACCTCCTCCTCCTCCCCTCTCTGCCTTCTTGAAGTTGTGGGCTCTGGGAGGAGGTTTCCTCTGCGCTTCTGAAATGGGCCTCTGAGCTGTGCTGGCCAGAAAAGGAGGATCAGGTCCCCCTCGATGCCCTTGTTCTGCAAACGGGTCACAGGAGAGAAGGGAGACTGGACCCTCCAAAATCACTGAGGTCGGGCTGGGCTCAGAGCCGCCCATCCTGCCCAGGTTCGTCATGTGAGCGCTGTCCTTTGCCACATGAGCTCATTCTGGGGCTCTGGGTGTGCAGGCGCCAGCCATTGGTGCAGGCTGGGTCTTGCGCAGAGCGGGGCTGATGTCCAGCCCATGCCCTGGGGCCATGTCAAGCCCTGGCGAGGACCTGTGTTTGCTCAGAGGATGAGCATCTCCTTCTAATTCACCCGCAGGCACACCGTGGACTCCCAGTAGCCCTGACATGAGCACTCCTGAGGCTTAACACAGAAACCATCCACCCAACCAGAAAAGTGGAGCCTGGAAAAGGGGAACCAGGCCCAGGGCAAGTGGGAAGGAACTCCTGAGGCCAGTGGGGCCGGTGGAATAGAAATGGCAGGGAATCAGGGAAACACAGATCGGATGGCCGCGGTGCCCGAGACCTTGGCCTGTCTTGGAATGCTGCCTCCTCCCTCTGGCTCCAAGCTCACAGGCACCTGCACTCTGAGCTCGCTTTCAGGCTCAGTTCTCCCTGCCTCCGCAGCCCCTGAGTGGAGAGTCGGCTGCACTTTCCACCCCAGTTCCACCAGCAGCCGACATCACACGCCCCGAAGCCATCACCCCTCCTCCTCCTTGAGTGTCTCTGGGCTGGTTAATGAACCCAGTCGGTCTCCCCACATTTCCTTCCCAAATGAGCTTTAATTGCTGATGTGCTGTCGCCATCATTTTATTTTGGAAAATCACTGCTGGGACCCTGCCACCCCCCCAGCCCTCACGCCCTGCCCCAGGACACCACTGCCAGAGTTTGAGGACAGCGGGGGCCTGGAGCTGGATCGGTGAGTGTGGGGCACATCCTTGCTTTGCTCTTCCAGATCCTCGGACCCCCTTTCCCCATCCTGCTCTGGGCCCAGGGAGGCTGATGCCAGGGACCAGATCATCGGGGTCCCCTCATTCTGGCTTGGAAGGAGAGCAGGGGAGACGGTTATTCCTCTGGCTCCCTTCCTGCGGACAAGGATGAGTGGCTGCATTCCTTCATAAAGGCCACACTCCTGCCAGGCGGCCCTGTCCTCACAGCGCCCTTCGTCCAGGTGACTATACCTGCTTCTCCCACCTATTCAGGCCGAGGGGTGTAGGGCTCCTTCTGTTGCTAACCCCCTGCAAGTTTCCCTGAGCCCTGCCCACCCCTCTGTAATGAGTCCTTCACTAAATGACCTTTCACCCCATTTGAGCAGACCCTCTGCTTCCTGCTGGGACCTGGGAAGCCGTATCATCTGACCTCTGGGCTGATGTGTCATGAGGCCCATCCACCAAGAGATTCCTGTACCCTGGAGACCGTGAGGGGACAGGAGTGGGGAATAAAGAGGAAGAACCAGCAGAGGCAATTCCCATAACCTGGGGCAAGTTCAAGTGGGAAGTGGGAGAGAATGGTTTGTTTCTCCAGTGCTTCCTTCCCCACAGTCCCAAGGCTGGTCGCTGGGGCATATCTGCCCTCAGAGCCTTAAGAACCACCCAACTGCCCTGGGGGGTGCAGAAGAAGGCAGGTTCTGAGTCAGGGTTGGTTTTCAATTGAGCCATTCTGGCTGGGCTGAGCACCAGCAGCTGCCCTAGATGGCTGTGCAGGCCATGCACTGTGCAACTCACGGAGTGTTATTTATATAATTGTCTATGCAAATAACATCCCTTGAATTGTGCAGTGTGCAACCTGCACAACCATTTGTGGCAGCCCTATGGAATAACATTTGCTTGGTTTAGTATTGACTCCCAGAAAGCAGAAAGAGAGGACAGGTGGGAGGAAGAGGAGAAGGTAAGGGAGGAGAGATAGAAGGCAGATCTGGCCAAATTATTTCAGGTTCTGGGCCTGGCCAGAGCATCCTGACACTGCCCCAGGCTCCATGGGAACCACACGCTGTTTCATTTCACTAGATGACTCACAACCAAAATCCTTTCTCTTAGAAAAAACGATCCATAAGCAGGTGCAGAGTGGATTGTGCTCCCTCTGAGGATGCTGGTATCGATTCTCCATAAATGCAGCTGGCCCCAGCCCCTGGGGGAGCTGCTGGGAGCAGCTCTGCGTGTGTCTTGGCTAATGCAAAAGGGAAAAATGACTTCAAAACGGTGCTGATTTTTCCATTTCCAGGTTCATTCCTGGGCTGTGGCTCCATCCTTCCTCCCAGGGAGGTGTCCACAGGCCCAGGGATGAGATCAGGATTTAGGGCATAGTGCTGTTCGTCCTTTGGGGTTCAGTATAGTCTGTGACTTCTGGGTTCCCATCTGGGGGCCAGCCCAGCCACAGGACCCAGGCAGGGGCAGCTCACGGGCAGACGTGACAGCTCGACCAATTGGTGCTGGAGACACTGAGGACCCCCATGTCCAAGGCTGGTCCTGCTACCTCCCTCACCTTCTTCCACAGGCTGCCTGGCACCCACTGGGCTTCCTCAGTGTGTGACTTAATCTGGGTTTTTAAGAGGAGAATGCTGGGTGGTGTGGGGAGGGGTGGGCGATCCAGTGCTGGCAGGGCAGTGTCCTTGGGGTGTCAGAGCCCCCAGGGATGCTGGGACTGGGCATGCCTGTCTCTAACTTGCTTGCCAGGACTGGCTGCAGCAACCACTCCTCTGAAGACAGCCATGCCCAGAAGCCCCGGGGAGCTGGGATGCCCCAGCCTCATCCCCTCTTCCCAGGCCCCAGTCTCCCCGGGCATGATCCTATCAGCCAAGTAACTCCACTGGGATGCCCAGCCTTGAACAAAACGCCATCCTCTGAATTAACAATTCTGAGTCAGAGAGGGAGTGACAGGAGCACCCAGAGAACAGCACCCCACCCACTCCCACGGGTCCATCTCTCCTCCAGCCGCCTACCCGCCACCCGCTCCTGCTCGGCACATGAAGGAGGGATTCTCGACACTTACGGAGGAGATACTCCGAGCTGTCGTGGTCATAATCGTTGTCCTCTGGGAAGTGATTGATCCGGAAGCAGTGGCCTTTATAGATCCCTGGAGGGAACGAGAGGAGAAGAGCGTGGTCAGTGTGCGTGGGCTCCACGTGCACGTGCTGCCTGCATGCCTGGCTCTGGGCGCGGAGGGAGAAGAATGATCCGGTCAGGGGTCCTCGGGTCTAGTGGGGGGGGGGGGATGGGCACACACAGAGAAGAACTGCAGAGGGGAAAGTGCCCAAAGGTGACCGTATCATTTCCAGTCCACATTTGGACACCTATGAGAGTGAGGCCACCATCAGTAACCACGCAGGGACAAGAGGACTCAAGCAGAAATTCCTGGGCCAGCAGGACAAGAGACCCCCTTATTCAAGGGGGCTGCAGAGCCAAGTCTTGAAAAATGACAGTTTCCCAAGGGGATGGGGAGGAGGCCTTCGAGGCCAAGGAAGAGGCTATGTATTTGCCCAGGGTGGGAAGTTCTGGAGCTGAGAAGGACCTGTATAGGGGGAGGGGCTGTGACTGAAGGTGGGGCGGATGCTACGGGTCAGGTAGGTCAGGATGAAATCTGCCCCCATGGTGTCTGTCTGTCTGTCTTTCCCTCTCTCAAGCACACAATTATGGTGAATCCCTCCTAAGTTACACATCAAATATGCACACAGTTGGCAACGTGATTCTAATCCCCTCACTCAGTGTGATAGAAGGAAGAGAAGATGGAACAAGAGAAACTGCCAGAAAAGTCGAGACCCTCTCCTGCCTGGCTTCCCCTCCCCGCTCGGAGAAGTTGCCTTACAGGGTGGGAGGCAGGGTACCCTGGATAGTTCTGCAGGAGGACCGCCCAGTCCTCCCTTCCAGAATCTCCCATCTAGCTCTCCCAGCCCCCACTCTCTTGCTGTCTGGGAGCGGCCAGTGCAGAAGTGGACACAGGTGGAGGGGGTGCTTGGGGGGTCGGGCTCTGCCCGGCCGGCTGACCCCCTCACGCCAGGCTTGCCCCCAGCTCCTGCAGTGCCCGAGTGGGGTGGGGGGCGGTCTCCACCAGAGCCAATTCTTGTTCTGCAGCCGCTGCCAAGCGTCTCACTGGCCTTCCCACGCCCAGCCCGACCTCCTGGTCGGGAGCACAAGGTAGGGAGCAGGGCCTGGGCCAGACCAGCGTCCGTCTCGGTGCTTCCAATCGGGAGGCCTCTGAAGAGCTGGGGGCTGGCTGCTCTTCCTCCTGTTTACCAGTCAGCCGGCTTACCAGCTCTCCCCAAGCTCTCCCCTCTGTCCGGCTCCTTAGCTGCTGCCTTCAGGGAGCTGGGGTGCTGGGTAAGGACCCCTGCTTCCTGAAGACCCAGGGGCCTCCAGGGCGATTGGTGGGCAGGTGGGGCTTGGTCAGGGACAGCGGAAGACAGTGAACTCTGTGCCAGGTTAAGTAGGAACAACTTAGTTACTCCCCCTCAGTCTCCTCATCTGTAGAATGGGGATGACCACAGGCCTTATCTCCTAGGCTCTTAGGAGGATCACCTGAGGTAATACTTGAAAGGCACCAAGACGATTCTTGGCCTCAGGTGGTGGATCAGGGAGGCAGGTTGCTAAGGGACTCAGAAATCCCCCACTCTTTACCCAAGGGGTCTTACTCTTTTGTGAGTGGTTAAGTTGATGGAGAATCATGAGCGTCTGTGAGCAAGAGGAAACAGAACCAGGACAGGCTGGTGTCAGGGTGGCCAGAGGTGGCAGATGCAGAGGCTCGAGCGGGCCACACCCCAGACTGAAGATGTTCATGGAGATACTGAACAAGCATTTTCCAGGGGCAAGTGGGCTAGACGGAGCCCTCTGCCCTTCCTCCCTCCTCCCCTGACCTCTGCACACTTTTGGGGCTACCTTATGGGTCTAAACAAAATCACCAAGTCCCCCATGCTTGTTGGAACAAGTCGAACATTAAGAGGGTGAAAAAGAAAAAGTAAACAATCCCTCTTCAGAGTTGTTTTGCAAAGGTCAGCAGCCTGCTGTGTCTCCCCACATCTTTCTTTGTGATGTGCACCTACACGTGTGCATGTACACAAGGCTTCCCCTTGTTTCAAAAAAAATTAATATTTTTACATGGAGATGTTGATTTACACACAGTTGTAATAAACAATACAGAGAGATCCCACATACCTTTTTCTGGGTTTCCCCCAATAACATTTTACAAAACTACAGTATCACAACCAGGATACTGACACTGTGACAGTCAAGAACATGCCACCAGCGCAAGGATCCCTCATGCTGCCCTTTTACAGCCACACCCACCTCCTTCCTGTCCCCTGCCTTGGACACTGACCCATGGCAACCACCAAGCTGTCCTCCCTTTGTATGGTTTTGTCATTTCCGGAAGGTTCTATAAATGGAGTCACACAGCATGTGACCTGTTGGGACTGGCTCTTTTCACTCAGTATAATTCTCTGAGGAGTCGTCCAGTTGTTGTACATATCAATAGTCTGTCCCTTTTCCTTGCAGAGCAATATTCCATGGCATGAATGTACCAGTTTATGACACCTGGATTGTTTCCACCAGTCACAGCTGTGGCTTCCAGCTGTTTCTCATAATGCTGCTATGAACAGTCATGTACAGGTTTGGGGGTGAACCTAAGTTTTCATTTCTCTGGGATGAGGGCCCAGGAGTGCACTTGCTGGGTCATACAATGGTTGCACGTTTAGTGTGATAAGGGCCAACCTCACTGGTTTGTGGAAGAGCTGCCTCCCTCTTGGAATTATTCAATACACTTTACTCTGTAAACTGCTTTTTTCATTTACTGATGTATACAAACTTCTCTAGGTTATACCCATAGATCTGACTTTAAAAAACTTGTCTTCAAAAAAACCCAGTAAGTTGATACTAATCCAAAAATTGCTGGAAATCTTAGAAGGAAATAGCAGAGGGGCTTGGGGACCAAAGCTTGCTCTAACACTGATAACGCTAAAAGAAAATGGTGCTTTGGCAGAGATGAGGAAACCATATATTTATATACTTAATCGGAAAACAAAACTCAGGTTTTGACACATTCGCCTGCTTATAGACATGTGAGTTCCAAACGTCCTTCCAATACATCATGCTAACCTCCACTCTGCGTTTAGGGTGATATTTTGTATTTGGTAGGAATTGTAAATAGAAATCACACTGTCCAACATATTAACACATTTTTAAACACATTCTTTTTAGAGGCTGCATGACCATCCATAGTTAGGGTTTATCAGTTTGATTACACGGTAGATGAGACACTTTCCTTTCTCGGGGCTCTGGCTCCCTCCACGTGGCGTTCTGCTCAGAGATACGTTGACGGCACATATTCTGCCTTCGCTCTTCCCCTCAGCAACGCCTCTCCTTTTCTTTCCTTTTTCCTCTCCCTTCCTCCTCCCACACCAAGCTCTTCTGCACAGACTGAAGGAACAGGCATCGCTATGGGTAGAACTGTGTCCCTCCCACCAAAACTTTTGCGGGTGTCAGAACCCCTGGTACCCATGAATGTGACCTTATTTGGAAACAGTCTTGAAGATGTAATCAAGGTAAGACGAGATCACACTGAGTTCATGCAGCCCTAAATCCAATGACAGGTGTCCTTACAAGAAGAGGGAAATCTGGACACAGACATACATATGGGAAAAGCCCAAGTGAAGACACAGATCAGAGCGATGCGTCTACACATCGAGGGATGTCGGGGACCACAGGCAACCACCAAATGCTAGGAAGAGACAAGGAAGGATCTATCAGAGACTCAGAGAGGACAGGGCTCTGCAGACACGTAGATTTCACACTTCTGGCCTCCAGAACTGTGAGACAATAGTAGTCTGTTTCTTCTAAGCCACCCAGTTGTGACAGTTTCTTATACAACAGCCCTCGGAAGCTAACACGGGACAGGAAGTGCGGCGGGCCTCGTTCACTCGTCACTGGAGTCCAGCCTTGCAGGAAGGCAGACAGACCTGTTAGGTCTTCCTGTGCCCTGTCAACTGCAGGGGCCCTCAGCGATGTCTAAGAAGCCACATGTATGGGGCATCTGTAAAAGCATCTTCTTGTTGGGTGTACAGCAAAACTCATGCACTCTCTCGGGCTTAGGCTTCCAAAGCACTGGGGAAGGTTCCTGAATCCTCCCCCTCTACTTACTTCCAGCCAGCGACGGGGACCTTACCACCTTCTACAGCATTCTCTTTTCAAACAGCTTTAGCTTCAAGTTCCTGAGAGGCCATCTACTTCCACGAAACTCCATCCACAGGGATGACTTATCATCCCGGGGAATAAAAGTATCCATCACCTATCAAGTGTCAACTCTTCAAATCACTGAAGAGAGGAATTGTATCCAACAGCATGGAAGGACATGCTAGTTTTCCAGCCGTCCAGGATTTGCACAAAAAGTGAAGCTCAAAACTGAGGACCAGAGGTGGCTGGCCAGCTGCCAACAGTTGGGACCAGATGAGTCCCCCAGCCAGACACTGTTACCAGGCTGGAAGCCTGACCCCACCCCCATCAGCCTCCCCACTACCCCCATAAGAAGTGGGGGCTATGGGAGAAGGGCAGGAGTCATTTCGGCACACGGAGTGTGAAAGAGATTGCTCCCCACCCCTGGAATCAAGAATGTAAGCATTTCCCTTAAATGAAAGTCCTCCCTGGGTCAAACATCTTCATTTCCTTCAGCCATTTCATTATTGAGGGTTCCAGATCTTTCTCCAGCCCCATCCCCTCCTCTGGGTCAGCTCCCAGCTCCCAGTGCTCAGAAGCACAGCACTCACCACCAAACCCAGCGTTCCGGGCTGGGTCTGACCAGCCCAGAGCACAGCAGTGTTGTCCCCTCCTCTTCTCTAGACCCCGTGCTTCTGTTAATGGGACCTGGTGTTCCCAGTGACTCAGTCTCCTTGGACTTTTTTCGCGAGAGCTGCCTCACTTCCTCCAACCTGTTTTTGTCGAGTGGAGTGTTCAGTCCTAAGGACTTCACATTTATCCCTGTCAAATTTAATTTTGTTAGTGTTGGCCTCAAGGCATTTAATAGGGAGAAAATTAATGGCTGATGTGAGAAGTAAGAGAGAAAGCCGTTGCCCATCCACTTCACGTGTGTTTTCTCTCGGTGAACGCGCCATTTACTGTGTTCTCTGTCAAGTGACATTCAGGGCGGCTAATTTTGAGATCCCGGACTGGCCACAGTGCAGGAGTACCAAGGTGTGCTGAGGTCGCTGGCTTGTGCTCCCAGAGACCCGGCGGTCCCCTCCTCCTGAGGGTCAGGAAACCACTCGTGTGATTTCTTTATCTGTAAAACTCGGGAACCACACCAGAGGGAGCCCCTCCTGCTCTAGGATTCCAGGACTATTTTGTGGAGAAAAAGTCCAGGAGTCTGTGCGTGTGTTAACATCTCTATTCATTGACATACGTCCTGTTAAAGGTATTTCAGTAGGCATAGGAAGCATCTGGAAAGAAATATCCTAAAATGTATCCACAGTTTTACTTCCGAGTGAATTGAAATTTTCTCCTTTACATTTTCTCTGTATTTTCTGAATTTTCTACAACGTCTGGAAGTGAACCAGCCAGGCTCACTGAAAGTGAGAAAAAGAAACCGAATCTTTGATTGTAAGGCAAGTGTGGTGTTGTGTCTGAAGGAACCACAGGTCCGTCCAGATGTGGAGGCTGGGGAGTGGGGTGGGAACCGAGCGTGGGTGACATTTTAGCCTCCACGGGTGAGTCTCCCTACTGATTTCCTTCTGGACTGTGATGATCATGCCCTGAGGTTAAGCCCTGATACGCAGCAAGGGTGACCGATCCCCAGGACTCAGGCAGGCATGGGGACGCAGCACTGTCAGCGCTGAAACCAAGAGAGTCACAGACAAACCAGGACAAGTTGTTCACCCCATGAGTCATTTCAGCATCTGACTTAAGCTTCCATAATAGGCCACCTCAGAGGTCCGTCGTAATTCAGGGAATCCTGGAGAAAAGAACGTTAGAGGGAGGCTTAATAATCATGGCGCTCACTCGTGTAATTCCTTATCGCTTGCAATGCATTTTCACAAGCCCTACTTCATCAGATCCTCACCGACACAAATGGCAGCAAGGCACACCCATTGAAAGCATACTTTCTGCCCCACCTCCTGCGTCTCTGCCCATCGTTTACTCCAGCCATTCCTCAGTGCAGCAGTCAGCTCCATGCGGGTGTCACCTGCTGCTGTCTCGATTCAGCTGCTCCAGTTATTTCTTGCTTTTTGCCCACGGCACTGGGTAGGTTGCCCAGGGGAGCTGCAGCGCACGCATGCGCGCAGGTGGAACTGAATTTCGAGGGATTGCGCACCGCCCCTCCCCCACTGCCCCAGGGTAACCTCTGAGCTGGAGGATGGGAGCTGGTGGGTAAATGTTCCCTCAGCCTCACTCTCCCAGCCCTCCCCCATGCCGGCTCCCCAGGATGGCCACCCAAGACACAGCGCCTGCGTGCACGCCCTGGGCTCAGGCTTAGATGAAAACTAATGTGCCGAGCACGGTCAGTGCATCAGCCCATCTCATCTTTGTAACAACACGCCTTTGAAGATGCAAGAAAGAGGCTTAGAGGTATTGAAAGCCCTGTTCTCCCAAGCCCCAGCGCAGAGATCCAGCTCTGAGCTCTGAGGCAAGCTGCCTAATGCGGTAAAGGAAAGACTTCTTTGCCCCATTTTCAAGAAGAGGCTCAGGGGATGCCCGTGGCAGAGCGGCAGCCCCTGGAATCCAGCTTCTTGATGTCTCCCCAAGTGTTCTTCCCACAGCACCCGAATGCTGCCTTTCCAAGAGCCCTCAGTGAACGCAGGAAAGGGTTCTGATGCAGCGTGGGTCACTGGCCTTCCTCCCCAAGACAGATCAGGAAGTGAAACCAGGTAACAATCAAGGGTGCTGGGTAAGCTTCAAGAGGACAGTTTCCTGACGGTGAAGCAGGAGGCAACGGTGTCTCCAGACCTTGGAAAAGGCGGCTCTGGGTCAGTGGGGTACATGGAGCTGGGGAGGGGCAGGCCAGGCATGGCAAGGCCCCTTTCGGCTCCAGGACAGGGTGACTGTGACTAGAGTCGGCCCTCTGTATCTGCAGGTTTCGGCTGGTATCACTTCCGGGGGCGATACGAGCTGGATAGCCGGAGAAGGGATACGAGATGGTTTGGATCTTAAGTGGAGGCTGAGCTCAAAGCCAAGGTTGGGGCTCAGGTGTGGGGCCCACATCCGGGAACAGATGCTTCTTCGGGGGTGGCTGCTCAGACATGTGATTTCAGAACATCCCCATAACCCTGGTCAATAAGAGGCATGGAAGAGCCCAGATGAGGCCCAGCTGCTGATGGAGGCTGCCTAGACTGGAGGAGGAGGTGAGGGTGGGAACCACATGTGGGGCCAAACCTTCCACCAGCTTCGTTTGAATCACATGTTGGAAAATAATCAAACCACACTTATTTTTCTAAATAGCTATCGATTTGGATTTTGTAATAGTTCAAAGTGGCCATCTCGTAACTAGTCCAGATTAGGATGGTTTCCCTGGACTGTACACTGTGAGCTGGGTCATCTGTGCCAGCCACAGCCCTGGTCTAAGGGCCAGATGCACCAAATCCACATCTCAGGTGGGGCAGTGGGAGGAGCTCAGAGCCTGCCTGCGTCTCCCACCTGCTGCCAATCACCTGCTCGAACGGCTCCTCCTCTAATGTTTTCCCAGGGCTGCTTAATGTATGAGCCTGGTCCCCTGACCCTAACGTCCCATGGGAAGGATGGGAACAGCCCAGCAGTAGGGCTGTATGTTTCCAGGAGGATACAGACCTTTTCAGAAAGGACCCAGGGCTTTGTGGAAGAAGTGAAGAACTGAAGGATGCAGGGTTTTGGCTGGAATGATGGGAAAGAAGGTGGAAGGGAGAGTGTTATCCTCACAGTAAGAATAATATCAAGGATTCCCTTAGCATCTGTTATGTGCCAGGCTCTGTTTTAAGCACCTGACATCTATGAACTCCATACTAGCCCTACAAGGTGGATAGGATTACTGACACCATTTGCTACTAAGTGCCCTAGCTGGGGTTTGAACCCAGGCTGCCCGGCTTCAGAGTCCATGCCCTTACCTCCCACACTGTGGAGGCAGAAGGGCACGCTGTGTTCTCAGAGCTACAAGCAGTTTTGATTGGCTGGAGCATGACGGGAAAACATGGGTCCCTGACACTCCTTATTGGTGGGAAAACTTGTTTTCCCAGACTTTGGGGCTAAGGGCACCGGCTCATGTTTGAGGCTGGGTTAACCTTTTATTGAAAGTGGAGATGCTGGAGCAGGAGGGATGGCAATCCAAGACCCCACACAGGTCAGGACAGCAAGTGGTCAGGGATGGATGGACATGAGAGCAGAGCTTGCCCATGGCGGCAGGTTGATTTTCCAGAGGTGCCGATGTGGACAGAGGGGCGCTACAGTGGTCCGTACAAGCAAAAGGTACAAAAGCGG